GATAGTTTGACCTTCTATCTGCAGAAAGTTTAAATGCTACTTCCATACAACAATTTAAAAATGGCATTAAGTCTGATAATATGAATAACACTAAAGAAATTGCTAGTACATTTAAATACTGAGGTCCAAGAAAATATAACATCACAATTTGTCATCTTAGAAATCATGCTAGCAATCTAAAAAGTGACTTCTATATGGATCAACTAATTGACACACCAGCATGTAGATGTGGACATCATATTTGAATACCCACTCTATAATTACATTAGAATGCAACGAGTACTAAACATTTCTCAGTGTAGTAGAACTGATAGCCATGATCATTTTAATCTAAAACCTTTGTTAAATGGCTGCACAATATGCAGCACTGATACCAACAAATACATTTTACAAATTAGATCTGACTTTATTCGTCGAGCTAATAGACTCGATATGTAATCTCACTCACAACCAAACTTTACAATTTTAAGAGAATCAACTCCAATAATAGATACTAATGACTTCATTTTCCCATATTAATCTATATCATATTTTGAAATTGTACAAAATGTGTATTTCTTGGTAACTTATCCTATATATCCATTAGTTGGATGGCCAATGTGTTTATACACAGGGACGTTAGGGCCTGTATCACTTGGATTTTATGTAGGATGGGATGTCAAAAAATATACATTAATATCCAAAACAAACACAGAAAATGATTGAATAATAGTTTAAAAAATATCTATTTCATTAACTAAATTGGACTTATCTCCCATATACTATTTATTTGAATTGTTATGACAGAATATATGTAATGTTTGTAAATAAGTTTGGAAATGACTTAAATAGGCCTAGCCTGATGTCCAATCCAATTGACATACAGAGGGTAAATAAAATCTGTTGAAATTGAAATTGAAGAAACCAGGTTAGATGATACTGTAAACGCCTTTTTGGCGGGTCCTTATTTCGGCAGATTTGCTAAAAGTTTGTAGGACTTTCTTTTCACTTATGCTTGTTCTATTTATTGACCCTTGCCCTATGACAGTGTTTCGGTAAGGATGTATCAAATTTCTGTTAATTTCGCTAGGTGTGACTTTTGCGGAAACATTGTTAGTCCCCGCGAAGAAAATAAGTCTTAGATTATGAACAAAAAGGATCTACGTTATTGTTTTAACATTGCTGAATATTTCTTAAAAATATTTTTGAAAGTACCAAAATTATAACCGAATGCAAATATTAATAGGTAACATTATAACATAGAAAACAATATAGAACACTGATATCATAAAATAATTCCACACTAGCCTTTGGAAAGCTCAATTCCATTAACTCTGTAAGGCCATGCGGATCTAGGATCGATAGCTCTGCAATATGTTTCAATCTGTTATTGTAGATCAATTAGTTACATCTGCTCTTTAGAAATATATCATGCGTAAATAAATTCGTGAGTGGCACCAATATTTTAAAAGTATTCATCAAGAGTTTGATTAATTACATCCTGAAACATTTAAAATAGCATACTAATTGTACGCCGAAGATATACTACGACGTGTTAATTCGTTTACGTTTTTTCCCTGTTGTTGCCATCTGAACAAGTTATTGAATTCAAGTAAATTCAATTCAAATTATTCCCGCAGTTTTTGGAAAATTCGTCTGTTATATTCTCATGTGTCATCGAAATCGTCAATTACTGGGGGAAGGTGGGGGCCCTGCGGAATCAATGACGTCACTGATTACCCGCCGCTAAGTTAGCATTGTGAAGGCAACGTTAAGCAGCCATTGTAGTTCCAGTCACTCTTAAAACACATCGACAGTATACCCTTTACTTACTTTGTGTTCTAGTAAGGATGTTGTTTTCAGAGGGAGTGGAACTACAATGGCTGCTTAACGTTGCCTTCACAATGCTAACTTAGCGGCGGGTAATCAGTGACGTCATTGATTCCGCAGGGCCCCCACCTCATAATCATCAAAGATTGGCAGGAACATCCCAAAAATGATTACCTGATTACAGAATCCTGCACAACAAATAAACAAAATAATAATAAAATGTCAACAAAACCGTGATTCAAACTGAAAATCGGAAAGAAATACAAAGGAAAGCTTTATATGGAGACCCTTGAAAAGGGAACGATTAGAATAGGACTAGGTCTTCCAGAAGGGTAGACTTTTTTTTGCTTCATCGACCATTCTGTCATGTCAAACATTGTCTAAACAAACAAATTACACGTACTCTAAGTGAGACCTGAGCTAGTGGCAAGGAATCAACAAGGTACGTTAATGACACGTACTCAAAGTGAGACCTGAGCTAGTGGCAAGGAATCGACAAGGTACGTTAACGACACGCACTCAAAGTGAGACCTGAGCTAGTGGCAAGGAATCAACAAGGTACGGTAATGAGTGATATTAAAAATACAAACCTTCATGTTACAAAAGAAAATAGTTAAAGCCGATATCAAATGAAAACGACTATAAATTAAAAAGAGGTTTCCTTCTCACAGAGACAACCACAGATAAACAGGAAGTCAATCCTCGCAATATTGCTCCGTTTTCAGCAGCGTCCCGAACTCCATGACAACGGGGATATAAATCAACTCAATCATTTCCTTTTCAGCAAACCACTATCAATTTAATCTTCCTTATAAGACGGTACCAGATTTGAAAGTGATCCATCAAAAACTAGTCAAATGAGTGTCATGGACAGAAAAAAAGCTGTATGCAATATCTTTGCGAAATAATGATAAAGTAGTATATCAAATTAAAAAAAAATTGATGGAACTTTTAAGGTATTTCATTGCACGCGCACGCAGTGTATATTACCATGTAAACCGCGTTGTGGCGGAAACAACATACGATATACGACAGACAGCGGCACTGAGTCCTCATTATGACATGATTTAGAAATGATTTATCGACCATTGATTTAAACATATTTTTATTTGCATTTAATATACAAAAGGGATTGGGCACAAGTTGTCCAACTTATGTAAAGCCCTTTCCCAATAACATTATGAAATATATAGATGGCAATTTTTAAAATAATTAATATTTTCAATTAAGTTTAGTGTTGCTGAGAGAGAGAGAGAGAGAGAGAGAGAGAGAGAGAGAGAGAGAGAGAGAGAGAGGGTAGGGGGTTGAGGTCAAAGCTGGTTGAGGTCAAAGCTTAAAGATATTTAATATGAGATCGTAGTAGTGATCTTCTCCGACACAAACGGCACTAGTAACACTATCCACTATTCATAACACTCTGCCTTCTCCTTGTAAATTCCATTCCCTCTGGTATTTTCGTTTCATTAGTGCCGTTTGTATCGGGGAAGACCAGAAACATGACACTTTAACATTTAAGATAAAAATGATTGCCGACTAATAAATTACCAACCATATCGACCATATCAACAAGCAGCGAAACTTACCAAAGAAAAGTAATGCTAGGTATGTGTGTACGTGCTACTAATGCGATTGATGATAAATATTTTTCATATATTTGCTTTAAATATCCTTCAAATAGGAGAGTTTTGAGTGTACCCCTTATCCCATACTCACTCGAATATTAGTCTACATTTCCGGAAAAACATAGACCTTCGTAACTTCCGGTATAGGATATTAACAATCATTTGGTTTAGTAATATTACAGTACTGCTGTGTCAAAATGTCGTCAACATATGATTTACACACCTGGAATGTACCTGATATGAAGATTTTTTCTACACGTAAGAAATATGTCTTTCCATCCCCTTCTAGTCAATTCAATTTCAATTCAAGTTTATTCCGGGGTCCTTATGACCCATAGGTATACATACATATAATACATAATATGACATACATATTTGGAGAGTAATCTCTCATGACATGCGTACAGAACGCAGAAAGTAACATATATATGTCTGTATAACACACACAGACAGACAGACAGACACACACACACACACACACACACATACACACACAGAAGTATAAGTCGGTATCCCTCTGTCTCTTAACGACTGCCGCTGAAGGTCAGCGATTCCTCTCTGGTTTAAAGTTGTTTTTGTTAGCAAACCAAGTGGGATGCGAGTTTTTTTGTGCCGTTGGTTCGCCATCAACAAAATGTCTGGAACATACATGATGGTACGCAGGTCGATCAAGTTAATTCTGGTGACGCAAAACTCATGCTTCCACCTTCTTCCCTCTGGATATTTATGTTCGGGTTGGAAATGGATAGAATTTTCCTTAGACATATACCAATACTTTCATTGATTGTTGTTGTCAAAAAAGCCGCCTTTCGCAGCACATTAGTACGTTGTTTTAGTTGACGACATTTTCGAGCTTAAATCCTTCCTGCTGAAAACGAAAACCGGGAGTTGGTGGGGTCCTATTTTTTATGGCGTGACACGTGCGTGTATAAACCAGAAATGAGACGGAATCCGGAGCAACCCGTAACCCTCGTGTTGTATATGTATTACACTATACCCAAGCCCGTGTAATAACTTGTCGATATCGGCCCGCATCGGGTGATATCGCCCAGCTCCGGTTGTATCAGCCTGCATTCGGATCTTATACCAGATAAACCACAGTTCATTACAGGTCCGTATCGGAATTTAATATTATTTGGTTTGGCCGTCTGCGGGAAACCCGGACGGGGAAAAGCGAACAGGAATGAGAAGCAAATAGGAATATAGTTTAAACCATGTAAAAGACACGGGAAGTTAACAGAAGAAAAACACAGTTTACATTGATGATATAGAGGTTTTCGTTGAATATTTGGGGAAATAGAAAAGAGAAACTCACTGTTCATTATCAAATATCGTTTAGTTTAGTTTAGTTTAAGTTTAGTTTAGTTTAGTTTAGTTTTAGTTTAGTTTAGTTTAAGTTTAAGCATATTTTTTGCTTTTTATTTTTACAGCAATAGGATCGGGTACAAGTTTTTACAACATTAGTAAAGCCCTCTCCTCAACAGTTATAACACAAAAGATTTCAAAAGCGACAATACATCAATATATGTATACACATATTACCTACCAGAAGGTACCTTGTTAGTTACGATGGACGTCGTTTTCCTCTACACTAACATACCGCATGACGGCGGCATTGCAGCCTGTCGCGAGGCATGGGAACGGCGCAGTACCAAACACCCATCGACTGATAGCCTGGTGGATTTACTAAGACTTGTCCTCACACTTAACAACTTTACATTCAATGAGGATAACTACATACAAGTAAGCGGTACAGCCATGGGTACTAAGATGGCCCCCTCATATGCCAATGTTTTTATGGGACATCTTGAAGCTCAACTTTTAACATCTGCTCCGATTAAGCCATTTAGCTGGTTGAGATTTATCGATGACGTTGAAATCAAATGGACATCGGGTCGGGACTCCTTTGACGAGTTTATTGAGTACGCTAACGCGTTCCACGCCACCATCAAATTCACAGCGGATATCTCAACGGAGAGCAACACATTTTTGGACACCAGTTCCACTCTGATTTATGGTAAGATTAGTACGGACCTCCACTGTAAACCTACTGACACACACCAGTATCTCCTCCCATCCAGTTGTCACCCCTCTCACACCACGAGAAGCATACCCTACTCCCAAGCTCTGCGCATCAGGCGTATTATTTCGGATGACATCATCTTTGAAAGCAGATGTTCAGAGTTAAAGTCCCACCTTCTTGGCAGAGGATACAAATCTACTTTGATAGATCGGGGAATAGACAAAGTGAGGGTACTGGACAGGGCAAGTCTGCTTGTATACAAAGTCAGACCCCATACACAAAGGGTACCTTGTGTAGTCATGTTCCACCCAGACATGCCGCTTCTTCCATCTATCTTGAAAAAGCACTGGCGCATCATCGAATCTTCAGCGAAACTTAGGCAGATCTTTCCAGAGTCTCCTATACTGGCATATCGTAGACCTAAACACATTAGAGATCTTGTGGTAAGCAGCAAGCTTCCTACACCTAACCCTGCTGCGGCGAAAGACTCTTTCAATACCTGTAACAAGAAGGTGTGCAAACTGTGTCCATACACGCGCTCCACAGATACATTTCAATGTACAATCAACGGCAAAGTGTTTCACATACTACAAACGCTGACATGCACATCAGTCAATGTGGTGTACCTTATTACCTGCAATAAATGCAAGTTACAGTACGTGGGCGAGACCTGCACCCAGCTCAATGTCAGGATCAACAACCACCGCTGCTCCATCAAGCAGAACAAACCAGACTTCCCTGTGGCAAGGCATTTTAATATGCCTAGCCATAGTTGGAAAGACATGCAGGTTGTTGCCATAGATCAATGCCCTACATGGGATGAAACGAGACGACGTACGAGAGAACGGTTTTGGATCACCAATCTACAAACCCGCTACCCTCGAGGTATGAACGAACGATAGGCGGTTGCCATCCGCTCGTTTTCCTTCCAGGGGGCATTTGACCTAATGATTCATTACTGCACAGTTGGTCTGCTATCTCGCCTGCCTGCTGCTTCATGTCAGTGTGTGTGACCAACAGCCGTTGTCAGATTTATTTTGCAGATTTATACAGTATCTTAGCCATTTTATCTATTTATTCTTCCTGCACTCACTCATTTGATAATTACATGCATAATTCCTGCAAACTAATAGAGGCACATGCATTATTCCTGCAAACCAAAAGAGGCGACTAAGTGGGACCCCCTGCTGTGACTTAGATCCATCACAGTATTGAGAGGCGACTAATGAGACATTCCGTAGCAGATTGGAGATTTTTCACATTTACCGGGCCAGATTTCCAAATGCACACATGTTCCACGTTTTTGATATCTCTCGTTGACTCACTTTATATGACAGTGCATCTTGCGCAAGAATAGGTCCTCTACATCAGCGTTCCTTGTCCGCGATGCTCTCAGCGTAATTGCTGCCTTCGGCTGTCTTTAGCCGAGGGGACTATTGGTTTTATATAATAGCTATATTTTCAATTATAGTATATCAATTCTATCTTCTTGTAATATGATATATATGTACATGTAACTGTTCTGTTTCACTGTGTCTTGAAAAAGGAGTGGATCGCTCCGAAAATTTGACAACCTAAACTTGTCCACACTGTTGGAATTACTTCTTTGCCCCATATACACATATAAAAGATGTACTCTTCTGAGGTTTCAATCACGTTCAAGTCTCGTTTTGATCTGGTGTAACAGGTTTTTGTAATATTTAACAAATTATGATAGGTATAATAGCAAACACACATCTGAAAAACATGTAAAAAAAACTAGATGTCTGTTGTGTGTAGAACATTTTTTACAGGAATTTTTAAAAAATGACCAATTTGGCGGCCATTTTGAAAAAGTGTATTTATGTGAATTTCTTGCGCTTCACAAAGGGCCAAATTTTCACCTTTTTGACACTAGATTGATCACTTAAATTGTCATTGTGTCACCATTTTTAATTGTAGCAGGTTCAATTTTGCTATACAACTTTATAATGTTCAATATGATTACTATAATATGCAAAAAAATGGAAAGTTATATATTATTGATATTTTTTTTTACATATTAGGGTAACTGAAGCACTTTTGATTTTTGACCCCGAAAAGGTGAAAGAAGCACACCGACCTCCCATTTTTGTGGCTGTTTTAGAAAGAGAAACACATTTTCTTTTGATTCATTGAATACCAAAAAAAGTTTAATACAGTTTCTTTTTATATCAAGCGTTTAATCTGCAAAAAATGGTGAAAAATTTGCATTTTTTCATTAAAAAATAAGGGGTAGGGGTAACTAAAATCGCATTTCTGAGTAAAATGAATAAGAATAAGAAATTTTACTTCCATAGTTACAAAGAAAATAATATTTTTATCAATTCTACAAACATTCATACATATCTGATAACACACTTGGGAGAAATTGTATGAATTTGTTCTGCAAATGGTCAAACCCCAAAAATTCACCTAAAATCACATATTGTGTTTAATTGGTATCTTTGACCGATCATAGCACAAAAACGAACACACCGACATGAAGTTTTTTTGGCATTCACTACTATGCCATTAACTCCTTTTTCCAAAAATCCATATAAGAAAAAAAGTTTAATACAGGATTTTTTTTACTTCTCAGAGGTGTACATTCTTAAGTTAAACTAAGAATGGGTGAAAGGTTTGCAAAAATTAAATACTTTTCTCTCAGTAATTTGATGTGAAAGGGTGCTTGACAGAGAGGGAGAATAGATACATACGGGTTGTTTTCTCTAACTAGCCGGGGGAGTAATTAGTATAGATACATACGGGTTGTTTTCTCTATTGAGTATTTTTGATATCATTTTGATATTACTTTGTATTAACCTCGAGTCAACTGACTCATGGGTATAATACATATATTACAAGATAAGTACAACATGTTATGCAATACAATACAAAATAACATATGGACATATGTTAAGAGGAGAGTGACTCTTTACGTACACTTGTTGCCAAATGTAAATATTTTCCAAGATTAAAAAGTTCCCTTACATTATCGGTACTTAATAGTTGAGTTAGCTTAAACACACCCGGACTTCAACGATAATATTTCTTTATGTACTTTAACCTTAGATTTTCATAAAATGGACATTTGAGAATAAAATGAAGCTCATCTTCAGTGTCGCCTAAATTACATCAGTACACAGTCGATTATGACGGTTTGTATTATTCCGCCTCCCGACCTCAATATTTAAACTGTGAGAGGACAGTCTATAGCGAGTAATTTGACGCTTGAATTTTGATTTAATTGGCTTACGCAAATAAAACTGTAAGTCGACATTGTCTATCAGGTGTTGATAAAAAAAAACCTTTGAAGAATTTGAAATATTTGTTAACATACTTTGTCGTGAAACATCGAGCAATCTTTGTTCTATAATCTTTGCCGCAATATTAATAGGTAAGTTTTCCTCAAAGATATACTCCAAACCCATGCTAGCTAATTCTTGCCTAATATTAATTAACCAGTCATCATTACCACTTATACGCTCGTCATAGCAAGCTTTTAATATACAGTTATCGCTACATTTCACTTTTAACTCGTATTTAGAATTCCTCAGTTTCCTTTGGACTATATAGGGGAATCTACCAAGTTCACAATAAACCAGATCATTATTAGTGCATTGTCTGACTCCCAGAATTTTTTTACAAAAATTTAAATGAACTTTATTTACATCAGGTGCTTTGTGAAATCCCCAGATTTCTGAGGCATAACACAAAATACTGTTTACATAAGAGTCAAAAATAGTACACTGAGTTTCAATATTAAAACAATAATTGCGTAATGAAGATGTTAAGGCGAACAGTGCCTTTCTCCCTTGATCAGCCACATGCTTCTGTGTTTTAAGAAATTTTCCATTAAAATTAAAAAGCATACCTAGATATTTGAATTCATCCACGATATCAATGTTTGTATCTTTATAAGACCACGTTTCATAATTTCGTAAGTTACCACCATTTCTAAAAGCAACTATTTTGGTTTTAGATATGTTGACTTCCAAATCCCATGTGTTACAATAATCCTGTAAGGAGTCCAGCATAGATTGGAGACCTTCTGGTGTTTCTGATAGCAGCACCATGCCATCTGCATACATGATCAAAAATAGGTTTATAAGTTGAAGTTCTACACTTGGACAATTGTCTTTTATGAAATTGATCTCAAAATCATTAACATATAAAGAAAATAAAACTGGTGACAGTACTTCGCCCTGTAAAAGTCTAATCTTGATGCAAAAACTATCACTTAGGACTCCATTATACTTTACACATGATTTAACATTATTATATAAGTCAATCAAAATTTGAAGGAACTTACCTCTGATACCACAATTGATCATTTTACACCATAACTTGCTTCTATTAACAAAATCAAAAGCTTTTTTAAAGTCTACAAAACAGCAGTAAAAACGCTTTTTTCTTTTTTAGGGACTTATTTATAAGGGTTTGTAAAACAAAAATGGCGTCAGTGGTTGACATTCCAGGTCTGAAACCAAACTGTGCGTCAGTTAGAATACCATACTTTTTTTCCCAATTTAATATTCTGGTATTTAAAACGCCCGTAAAAACTTTTCCAAAACAACTAACTAACGAAATGCCACGATAATTGTTGGTGTCATTTAAGTTGCCCTTTTTGTGAATTGGAACAATACAAGCTTTGCACCATGCTTTTTGGAAATGCCCAGACTTAAAAATCACATTGAACATTTTTTCCATACAAGTCAACAAAATAACTTTTCCTTTAATAAAAATTTCATTGATTATTAAGTCCTCACTGCAACTTTTGTTGTTTTTTAGATTGTTTATGACTTTTAACATTTCATCTTTATCAATATCTTTGTCTAATTCATCGTAGATGGCCACGTCGATATTAGGTTCCCTGTCATCTACATCACTATTATTACTCATTGTTAGATTTTTAAAATAAGTATAAAAATCTTCGTTTGATAAACTTGAATTTGCCCATTGGCTTGATTTGCTTTTAAATAGTTTGTGGAACTTCTTGGGGTTCGATTTTTTTAACATTTCCAGCATGTCATCTTTGTGTCGTTTGTATTGACGTTTCAGCTTTGACTCCATTTTCTTGTAAGAACGTTTCGAAGTGATCAATATGTGATGGTTATCATCAGATTTACAATGATTAAATTCTGACAATGACCGCTTATATTTATTATACAATGTTTTACAATTTTCTGTAATCCATGGTTTATCGGTTTGGTGATTTACATTTTTACGGCTACTTACATTAATAGATGCGTTTACCCTCACATCACAAAAAGGCAAAGAACAATCATTTATAATCTTGCATATATCATTTACACAATTGTTAACATCCTCGTGACTATCAAAAGTCACGTCTAGTTTATCGTTGATCAGTTCAATAATGTCTTGGAGACTCTCTAAGACCAAAGCAGTATTTGTATCATTCCATTTGACAGTTTTACATGGTGTCTTTTCATTATCAAAATCAAGGGATGTTTTGTTACTCGGATTAATACATTTTAAATGCAAGTAAAAACAGACCGGGGAATGGTCAGAAAAAGTATTAAACTGACCAGAGATAAATTTATACACAACAACAATCAAATAACCGTTTGAGTTATAAAATGTGAAACTTCCGTGCTCATCATTAGGGTGGCGTCCATTTAGGATACGAAGACCCGATGATTTGCATAAATCGATAAGCTTCCTACCAAAATTATTAACAGAACTATCCATATTTTGACGTTTTGGTAAATCAGGGTCCGCTGTATACTTAATCAAATTTCCCAATGCTTTGGCGATACCATCCTGTAAATGGTCATCAGAAATATAATTATTTCTATTACCAGTTCTGGCATTAAAATCACCGAAGATATATACAGTACCCGTTGATTTGTATTTGGACACAGTGTCTTCAAGACACTGAAATAAATCAAAATCACTCTATCGTAGAAAACGCTATTTACTGAGGGAAGGTAACAAAACGCAAAATATATATTATCAATTTGCGAATCATTTGTATCTAATTTCAACCATATAATGCTATCATGTACATTTTCTACACAAGAAAGTTTACCAGATAGTTCTGATTTGTAAAATATAACAATACCGCCGCCTTTGCAATAGGATTTTGGATAAACTATTTTTTCATAGCCTGCTATATCAAAATCGTCATCATTCTTAACTGCACATTCACATAGACATATTATATCATATTTGACGAGGTACGTTACAAAAGCATANTTACAAAATCATCGTTACGTAGTTTGTCCAGAAGTCCACGACCGATCTTCCATGATATAAAGGACAATTCACTCTACTGTCCGTCCTATCTGGAATATGACCACTGTCCGTTTGACTGGTGATCCATCCGTTCTAATGTTCCACTGTTTCCGCGCGCTCCGGGATGAGGCATGGGTTCACGCTGATACCCCCATGACGATCACTGGGATTGCCTCGCGACTGGCCTTGAGGAGGCCCACGGTGATGACGTGAGGAGTTGTTACGGTGGCTGTAACTCGTGGAACCGGGCCCCTGCGGTCGCGTTTGGCTGCTGGGGCTCTGGCCCTGGAAATGGGCACCAGTGTGGGTGTTGTGAGCATTAGCGTTGCTGTTGGCGACGTTAATGTACGTGGGTTTGGACTGGACGGCATCACCGTTGTACAACTCCCCGTTGATGTATAGCCTGTCGCGAACTAGTCTCACGTTGTTGCCGGCAAGTTTATTTTGTTTTTTAACAGGGTACAACTGCTTCCTACGCTCCTCGATCACTGAAGGGAACTGTTCATATACTCCATCCCGCGATCCCGCGAGCCGATGGGAGTTGCGTTGTACCAACAGACGATCCGCATTATAAAGGAACCGGGCAATGATGGGTCGATCTTTGCCCTTGATGAACTTGCCAAAACGATGAACATTACCGAACTCGATCCGGCGATCGATACCAATTTAAAAAAACAGGAAGTCCCACAAAAGCGATTCTGTGTCTTCGTTACGGGTTTCCCCGCCTAGACCAGAAAGCACAAGGTTGTTCTTCATCGATCTACATTGTAAATCAACCATGGAATACTGGAGCTCGTCGCGATCGGACCTAATGTCATGAAGCTCCTTGCTGATCGCACTGATTATCTTTTCCTGTTCCTTGACGGTCACAATGGCATTGTCCGCATTGGAATTGCGCTGTTCTAAAATGTCTAGCCTTGAGGATACAAAACTCGCAGCTTGCTCCAACTCCTCTGTTTTAGCCTCTGCAATCTCGATGCGACTCTCGACTTATGTGACTCGACTATCCATCTGATTTAGCTTCCGTTCTATGCTGTCTAGCTTTTTCAGTTTATTCAGTATGGTATCAAGTTTTTTGTCTGTAGTCGCGAGTTTGTCTGAAATGCTGGTAGACTGGTTGTCTGCGTCCTCCGGGTTCGTATTGAGTTTGGGCGTGGATGTTTCCGTCGGTACTGTTACTGTTGCAGATGGACTCGATGGGTATAACACTCTGTTTACCGCGTTTAGTATACTGCTGACACCTATGTTTAGACTGCTTTGATCTGCATGACTATCTTCGTTACTCTCACTATGTACATCTTGTCCAGAAGCCTTTTTCCGTTTTTTAGATTTCTTACCATTGTGACAATAATATACTAACAGTCTCCGACACTGAGTATGAGTTCGTATGTACGGATATACACCCGTTACAGGTAAGGTATAGACAGGCTCATCATAGCGGACTGATCGTGACGAATCGCTGGTCAACACTCCTCTCCACAGTGACTATATATATTATATGCGCACAGTGGTGGGTAAATCAAATCACATTTACATCGCGTTTAACGTCAAGCAATTGTCATTCAAAGATTCTGTACAATCTTACGTACAACATCACCACGAACATGAAAGTTTGGTGTCCAAAGCCATGACGGTAATTAATTTTACAGTACTCATGTTGTAGCCTCGTTCTTGCGTGAGTATAGATACATACGGGTTGTTTTCTCTAACTAGCCGGAGGAGTAATGAGTATAGATACATACGGGTAGTTTTCTCTAACTAGCCGGGGGAGTAACGAGTATAGATACATACGGGTTGTTTTCATTCACTAGCCGGGGGAGTAATAAGTATAGATACATACGGGTTGTTTTCTCTAAATAGCCGGGGGAGTAACGAGTATAGATACATACGGGTTGTTTTCTCTAACAAGCTGGGGGAGTATTGAGTATATATACATACGGGTTGTTTTCTCTAACTAGCCGGGGGAGTATTGAGTATAGATACATACGGGTTGTTTTCTCTGACTAGCCGGGGGAGTAATGAGTATAGATACATACGGGTTGTTTTCTCTAACTAGCCGGGGGAGTATTGAGTATAGATACATACGGGTCATTTTCTCTAACTAGCCGGGGGAGTATTGAGTATAGATACATACGGGTCATTTTCTCTCACTAGCCGGGGGAGTATTGAGTATAGATACATACGGGTTGTTTTCTCTAACTAGCCGGGGGAGTATTGAGTATTGATACATAGGCGTTGTTTTATGGTGTATTTTGTACAACAAGTTAAGTTTTTTCCGTTCTATTCTATCTTTTAGAGTTTCCCAACCTGTTTCAAAATATAAAGATTATCTACGGGCATATATAGGTAAACCTAATACAATGCATGCCGCTTCAAGTTGCAGTTTTTCAATTAGATCGCTACGGAATTTAGAGCAGCCACTCCACACTTCACATGCGTATAAAGT